TGGAGCATCGGCGGCCCTCTTGGAGCCATCGCGGGCGAACACGCACTCTCTGACATTTCGACCCCCTCCCCCAAAAAAAATCAGGGAGTGGCAGGACGCCCCCCCTCCGGAGGGGAAGAAGGGCTGTGGAAGCGGAAAGAGAGACACCGTTAGAGCACTTGCGCCCAGAGGGCTGGTGGGATATGCTGCCACGATGGCCAGACACAGCCGGCGCGAATATGAATAACAACCTCGTCGGAGGAGGGGGGGGTATTTTTCTGTTCTCTGCCGTTTGAGTCAGACACGACGTTCCGCAATGAGCATCTCCTTGCCTCGGGCGCTCAGAACGGTTGTCTTGAAGCTCGCGGGGAGGAGGAAGAGGAGGAGGGAGGGAGGAAGGAGCACGGATGAGGAGGGAAGCAGGTGGCAGGGAGCAAAGATGAGAGGGGGAGGGATGTTGAGGATGGGGATGGGAGGAAAACGAGGAAGGAGCAAGGAGGGATGATGATGATGATGATGATGATGATGATGATGATGATGGTGATGGTGATGGTGATGGTGATGGTGATGGTGATGGTGATGGTGATGGTGATGTTGATGACGATGATGCTGATGATGATGATTATGATGATGATGATCATGATGATCATGATGATCATGATGATGATGATGATGATGATGATGATGATGATGATGATGATGATGATGATGATGATGATGATGATGATGATGATGATGATGATGATGATGATGATGGAAAGAGCGTGTTCTACCATTGCTGGCAGAAAACCGGGGGGGCCACTGGGGGTTTCCAACCCGTCCCCCCCCCCTCTCGAAAACTGGGGGGAGTCACTGTGAGTTCCAACCCCCCCCTCCCACCCCATCTGGTCCATCATGAAAAGGCGGGGGGCACTGCTGGTTCAAACCCCTTCCCCCCCCCCCTCCTGGAAAAACGGGGGGGGTTCATTACCGGTTCGACCCCCCCCTCCCCCCTCGCCGCAACGACTCCCCCACCTCTCCCTCTCTGGATGGGGGACTGGTGGGGACAGTGGTTGGGACGGTGGTGGGGATGGTGGTGGGGATTGGGGACAGTGGGAAGAGCGGGACCGTGGTGGGCACAGTGGTGGGAACAGTGGAGGCAGTGCGAGAGTGGTGGGGGCACCGGCGGGGACAGTGGGGACAGTGGCGGGGACAGTGGGGACAGTGGGACAATGGTGGGGACAATGGGGACAGTTGGACAGTGGTGGGGACGGTGGTGGTGGGGACAGCAGTGGGACAGTGGTGGGGACGGTGGTGGTGGTGGGGACAGTGGATGGGGCTGTGGTTAGGACGGTGGTGGGACAGTGAGAGTGGTGGGGACGGTGGGGACAGTGGGACAGCGGTGGGAATAGTGGGACAGCTCAGTGGGACAGCGGCGGGGATAGTGGGGACAGTGGGACAGTGGTGACAGTGGCAGTGGGGGACAGTGGGGACAGTGGGGAGGGTGGGACCGCGGTGGGGACAGTGGCGGGGACAGTGGAGCAGTGCGACGGTGGTGGGGCAGTGGTGGTGGTGGTGGGGACGGCGGTGGTGGAGACACTGGTGAGGGCGGTGGTGAGGACGGTGGTGGGGACCCGGGAGTCTTTTGCCGGCGGCGAGGGGGGGGGGGGGGTCGAACCGGTAGTGAGGCCCCCCCCCGGTTTGTGGAGGGGGGGGGGGTTTAGGGGGGGGGGAGGGGGGGGGCCGGGGAAGGGGGGGGGAGGGGGGGGTTCGAGCAGGGGGGGGGGGGTTTTCAGGTGGGGGGGGGACCCCGGGTTCCGAAGGAAGAGGGGGGGAATGTTCCATAGTATAGCGGCGGTGGATCACGCTCTCTCTGATGATGATGATGATGATGATGATGATGATGATGATGATGATGATGATGATGATGATGATGATGATGATGATGATGATGATGATGATGATGATGACGATGATGATGATGATGATGATGATGACGATGATGATGATGATGATGATGGTGATGGTGATGGTGATGGTGATGGTGATGGTGACGATGATGACGACGACGATGATGATTATGATGATAATGATGGTGGTGATGGTGATGATGATGGTGACGGTGTTGATGATGATGATGATGGTGATGGTGATGGTGATGGTGACGATGACGACGACGATGATGATTATGATGATGATGATGATGATGATGATGATGATGATGATGATGATGATGATGATAATGATGGTGGTGATGGTGATGATGGTGATGGTGGTGGTAATGGTGATGGTGATGGTGATGGAATGGGTGATGGTGATGGTGATGGTGATGGTGATGGTGATGGTGATGGTGATGGTGATGGTGATGGTGATGGTGATGGTGACGACGAGGATTTCACAGGTTCCCGAGGATTGCCTCAGGATTCCAGTTCGGCACATTCCCTAGGATTTCTGAGGGTCCTTAGAGGTTCCTTGGGAATCCTGCGGATTCTTTAGGATTACGTCGGATGCCACAGGGTTCCTTGGGGATCTATGGGTTTCCTTAGGATTCCTCTAGGGTTCTTTACGGTTCCTTTCGGAATCGTATACGATTCACATATGGACCGCATGCGATTCACATAGGAATCGCAGACGAGCCACATAGGAATCGTATACGGTTCACAGATTGTCCGCATGCGATCCGCATAGGAACGGACCGTGTACGATTCACATCGGATTCTTATGCGATATACATGAGAATAGGATAAAATATACATGAGAATCGTAAGCGGTCCACGTAGGAATCGGAACGACTCGGATCGCACACGATTCGTGCACGATTCAAATGGGAAACGTACGCGATTCATACAGGAATCGAATACGACACGCGTGGGACCTGTATACGATTCACATGGATATGCATACGATCCACTTTGGAACCGTATACAGTTAAATAAGAATCTTGTGCTGGTCGTACGATACACATAGCACGCGTGTACGTTTCACATGGGAGCCGTCTACGACCCACATTGGGATCGTATACGATTCACATCAGAATTGTATACAGTTTGTACGATCCACATAGCACGCGTCACGCGTGTACGTTTCACAGGACTTGTCCACGACTCACAAGTGAACCGAAGACGATGCACACAGGATTCGTACACGATTCACTTTGGAGTCGTATACGATTGCCACAGGAATCGTATACGCTTCACGGAAGAGTCGTATACGATCCACACAGGAACCGTATGCGATTCACACAGGAGTCGTAGACGAGTCACACAGGCGCATACCAGCCACGTAGGAATCGTATTCGGATGACGTGGGATTCGTATACGGTTCACTTAGGAATCGTCTACGATTCACACCGGAGCCATTTACTATTCACATCGGAGCTGTATTCACATCGGAGCTGTATTTAGGATTCACATCGGAGCTGTATACGACCCACATCGGAACTGCGTAGGCTCCACATCGGAGCCGTATACGATTCACGAAGGAACCGTATGCGATCCGCACAAGAATCGTTTGCACTACGCGTAGGATTGGGATACGGCTAGCATGGATCTGCACACGATTCATGTTGGAGCCGCATACGATCCATGTAATATTCGTTTACGGTCCACATAGCATTCGTGCACGTTTCACATAGGATCCGTCTACGGTGCACATCGGAATCGTATACGATTCACATCATGTTTTTTATGTGGCCCAGATAAGATTCTTACACGAATCACATAGGAACCGTATACGATTCACATCGGAGTCGTATACGATTCACATTGAAATCGTGCACGGTGCACATAGGACTTCAAGAGGTCCCACATAGGAGCCGCAAGCGATTCATATCGTTTATTCAGATATAGGAGTATACGATTCACATAGGAGCCGCCCGCTCAGAATACCATTGCTGCAGATGGGTTGTCCCACAGTTGTTCTTCGCAGGAGGCCATGAGGGCCCCCATTGTTTAAAAAAGTCTACTGGCACTCCAGACTTTCTGAAGATGACTTACAATCGAAATCCATTGCGGAAGTTCGTCCGAAGCTTACATTCCAGAAGGTTGTTCCCCGGTAAATCGGGGTATAGCCCATCCAATTGGGGTATAGCCCATCCAACCGGCGTATCGATTGTTGTCTCTTCCTCGACCTCTTGGATTGTTTAGCGCAGTTCCTGGATAGCTTCACGCGGTTATCCCCCAACGGGGCATTTCCTTCAGTGGAAACATGTGGACATGAACCATTGTAGGGGCCTATGAGGAGGGAGATTGGAGGGAGGGTGTATTTCAACATCGTTGATGAGTCTTGGGTTTATGTTGGTCCTCCTCCTCCTCCTCCTCCTCCTCCTCCTCCTCCTCCTCCTCCTCCTCCTCCTCCTCCTCCCCCTCCTCATCCTCGAGCCTGATAATGATCCCCCCCGTGGTCCTCCTCGAGGCCTTCTCCCCTGGACCAGTTTCCGTTCTCTGGCGGTCCCGGGGCCCCGCGAGTGCCCCCAGAGGCCGAACGTTTACCAAAACGGTCATCCCGGAGTTTGTCGCGACGGGTCTCAGGAGCGGAAGGAGAGCACACACGTACATGAATCCACGCTGGTTTCGAAAGTTCGCATTGCGCGAGCGAGCGTACGATACGACGCTCTTCTCCTAGACTGCAGGGCTGTATTCACGTGCGTGGTTGGGCGCGTACGTCCTGTGTGGGCTCCCTAGCGAGGGGCGGCGGGGGTAGTCCTCCAGGGAAGAGCTCCGGGGCCCAGGGCCCGACTCCCTCGAAGGCCCGTTCCCAGGCATCCTTCTACGATGTGCTCTGCCCCACAGAACTCCCCCGAGCCCTTCCCCGGTAAAATGCTCCGTCCCGGTATGTGACGCTGAGATCCGACGCTGCATACAAAGATGCCATCACGACCGGAGCCCTAGACCCGGTCGCTCGAACCGTGAGGGCCCGAGGGCCTGGACCAGGGCAACAAAAAATCGCCCGTTGCTGAAGAATCGCGGCGCCGGGATCTCGGGGGACGAGAAGCGCCAGGACAGGAAGCAAAAATTGGGCACCCGCGTCCTTCATGCCCGAAGGTGGCTGGCCGGCGGCGCCGCCGCGGGCGTGCTGGCCGCGTCGTTGGCCACGGGGCTGCGCCGGCGCCTCCGGCGGCAATAGCCCGTTCGATCGCCGGCGGAGTGATGTTCGGGGGGGCGTCCAAGACCCGGACGCCTCGAGTCGTGGACAAAAGCACGGCGGGAGATGTTTCATTGGGAGATGTTTCAGTATCTGCCCAGACGATCGCGTCGTTAAGATCGGGGGTGGATAGACCTCCTACCCTGACACGTCGATTAGCGAATTGGCCGTTTTCGGTTCGCGAGAAGGCGTCGCGGCCGTCATTTTTGCGGGTCCAGGTCCGTCGGTTTCGGTCCCAGGCCGTTTTCACTAAAGGGAGGTTTACTAAAGGGAGGTTTGCCCACCGCCGATAAAAATCAAGGCGGGTTTTTTTTTCGCCGTTTTCGGCCTCCGGAGGCCCTCGCTGGGCCCCGGGACCGGCGGAAAATTGTATTCAGGAGACAACACCTGTCCTGGGCAAAGGGTCGGGACTTCCGGGGACCGCGTGTTGAAAAGACCAGGACGTCGCATGTCCGAGTAATGGCCTTTGGGCTTCTGGGGCCGCTCGCCGGGCCCCCGGACCGTCCAAAAGCGACTCAGATGCAAAATTGGTCCCCGGGAGCGGGTCGAGACCTCTGGGGGTCGACGACGTGGCAGAATCATGACGTCGGAGGCCTGGGGAGGGGGGTGAGGACCAGGGGCTCAGATCTCTCGGGTGCGTCCAAGAGAGGGTGATGATGGCTCTCATCAACGCGCCAACCAGTCAGCACAACGCGGTCACTAAGTTTTGGGTGCGCAGTGTGTTCCTTCAAGCCTGCTGCCCAGCTTTGTTATTGACCGGTGCGTGCACTTTGGTGGACGGCCTTGCCGCGACTCCATGCGATCGCATGGAGTAAGTCAAGCCGGTCTTTTTTTTCGTGCTTCTCGTGAACGGCATTGCAGCGACCCTATGCGACCGCATGGAGTATAAGTCAATAGCCAGTCTTCCTGATGGAACGTGCTGCCTGGTCCGTGCTGGCCAGCATGCGCGCGCCCGAGACGATGTGTGTTTTTCGATGCGGTTTTTTTCCTCGACCTCGGCCTCGGGGGCCTGGCGTTGATACTTGGGACGTTGCAAAAAGGGCCTTGCCAGAGAGGACAGAAAGAGATGTCAGCTCTTCCTCGGCGGAAGACGGTGGAAGGGCGGCGGAAGTAAAACTAGACCGCCTCCGCCGGCGGAAGCATGCGGAAGGCTGGCGGAAGGGGGCGGAAGTAAAAGATCCGCCCCCAAGAGATGAGAACGTTTTTGGGTTCAGTGGCTCCGGAATCCGCCACTTGGGAATAGATTTGGGACGAAAATTTGTTTACCCCCAGAAATGGAGTCCTCTGTTCTGGGACCCGGCCATGAAACAAAAGCGCATCGCTGGATGTTTACTGGTGAGGACTAGGGATGTGTCGATATGGTGGCCGGGTTGCCTGAAACCTCCCAGATGTGATGCCCCCCCGGCGACGACGGCGACGGCGACGACGGCGACGACGACGACGACGACGGCGACGGCGACCCCTATATAGTCGAGCACATGATTAAGAAACCTCCTCCCAGAAAGATGTGCCAGCGTTTCTTAACCAACTTGCCAGGGAGGTGGCCCAGTTTCTCGAGCATGTTCTTCCAAGCAGCATCAACCAACAAGTTGGCCTAGGATTGTTCCAGCGGGCTTCCAGGCAGCTGGCCCAGGTCTCATAAATCATAATTTTCAGAATTGCGCATGTCCTGAGCCATGATGCGTGCCACCCTCCCTTCTTCCTGGCCCCTGCAGCTCCCGCGCGCCCCACCGGTTTCTCCTCTGGCTCGGCTACCCCTGGGGGCTGCTTTCGAGCCCCGGGCCCTCAAAAACGGATCTGGGGCGGACGACCGTGACATCCGACGTTGCGAGAAGATCAATGTCAAGAACTTGCTTTAAAAATGATGACCCCCCCGGATCCCGATTGCTGTTAACTCGCCGCCGAATACTTATTTGTTGAATTGTCCCCCTAAGAAAATTGACCACGGAGACCGAACGATTTGATTGATGTATACACAGATGTTTGTGTGCGTACATATCTATCTATAGATATATATGCATACATAGACACACACACTCGTTTATTCATACATACATTCATGCAGACATACATACATGCATACATACATAGATGCATATATGTATACATACATACATACATACATACATACATACATACATACATACATACATACATGCATGCATACATACATACATACATACATACATGCGTACACACAGACATGCATGCATACATACATACACGCATACAGACGGACGGACAGACAGACAGACAGACAGACAGACAGACAGACAGACAGACAAATGTGTATATATATATATATGTATCTAGATTCGGGGGAGCGTAAGACCCGGGTTTGCCGGGACTCGGGTTCGCCATCGTTTTTTGACGACAGCGACTCGGATTTTGACGAGGAGGAGTTTTGTGGGATGTCTGCAGCGGGAGGCCTCGTCAAAATGCAGGCTCGGCCTCGTCATTTTTTTGACGACCTCGTCGGGGATTTCCGAGTCCCCCGTACCCGGGTCTTACGTCTCCCCGATAGATGTATATACACACGCACGTACGCGCATGCATTTGCAAGCGCGCCTGAACTGTCTGCGAGCAGATTTGCAGGCTACTTCGGTCGACGGGTAAGCAGTTCTGGTCTTACTGGGACCCTGTACGTGCGTACGTTCGCGACTGCGCGCGGTGGAGTCCAACGGCCCAATGCGGCCCGCGGGGCCACCACGGGCGCGGCGGCCTCTGCAGCCGAAGCGTTGCGGCGATGCCCTTCGCAGATTCAGGGAGAGTGCGCAAGTGGGTGGTCCCTGAGGGGCAGCCTCTACCCACGCCAGGGTCGCAAGGCGTGGCTTGCGTGGCCTGACGCCAAGAGTGGGTGCGCAGGAATCCGCCCCTGAACGCGGAGCGCCAGTGCGGTCGCGGGGACGTCCGCTGCGGTCTGGTTTGCCCCGCCTTCCTTTTGTTTTCTGTTGACGCGCTACAGCGCTGGGAATCACTATGCTTGAGAACTGTCCCCAACGACCGGAGCCCTGGACCCCATCTTTCTCGAGAGTTTTCAAAACTGCCCCCAACGACCAGAGCCCTGACCCCATTTTTCTCGAGAGCTTGTTCGCCTGGTCGATCTGCGATGATTATCATCGATCGATCCCGCTAGAAAGCGTCCGGTCCGCCCAGCGTGGGGCCGCGCAGGGCCCGAAATTGGCCGAGAACGCCCAGAACTACAAGAGTGCTGCGCCAGCATCTCACCCCATGGGAAGGGGCCTGGAGCTTTCGTCGGCCACGCGCAAAGGGTAAGGGGGGTAGGGGGAGGGGGGAGGCTTCTCAGAAGCGCCCAGGCTTCTTGGAAGGCGCGGGCATGATCTGTAGATGCAGGGCCGGCGCCTTCTAAGAAGCAGCATCTTTCTAAGAAGCCTTCCCCCTTCCCTCTACCCCCCTGCGCGCGCCGCCAATCTGGGTCGCGGAATGTTGATCACATCGTCGAGTGTCTGGGACCGTCGCGGCGACGACCACGATACGAACCACGACCGACCACGGCGGCGGCGCCGCCGCCGACGACGGCAACGACGAGGATAAATTGAAGACCGTTCGCTCGCATGCGCTCGCGTGCCGTTCCTTCCCGTGTGTCCCTCTTGGTTTTTGTGCCGCTTTCTTATAAACATATGACGGAACGACCTTTTTTGCAGATGGTCGCTTCTTCATACCAGCTTCAGGGTACGCCCCGAAAACGTACGAGTTAGTGTGGGCCCTGACATGGGAAGAGGGAGGAGAAAGGAGGGAATGAAGGGGTAGAGCGAGGAAGGCAGGGAGGAGGGCGGAAGGGAAAAACAATTGATGGTTCAGGGAGTTGGCAAGGCAACTGCTTCACGGATGGGGACGCCCAGGCAGACTGCGCGTGGGCGACGAGACCGTGTTTCTTTGTCCTGTAAGTGGCGAGGACGTGTCGAGCGGCAGCCGTTGCGAATGCCCCTTCTTGGGGGGGGGTACTCGGGTTGCTGGGGTGGGATGACATGAACGGGGTGCGCGTAGAGCCCCCACAGATTTGGCGAGGACTCCCCGAAATGCCGCTCTGCGCCGGCAGTGGGCGGGCCTGGGTGGGCAATAGACAGGCCTTGGGCCCTGGGTAGGCCTTGGGTAAGCGTTGGGGTTGCTGGGGCTGGGGGGTGCCACGGGCCAGGCAAGTACGCCCGCCCACTTGAGTGCATGGCCAGGATGTCTCGGGCGAGAGGGGCTACTCCTATGTAGGAGGACGCCTCTGGCCAGGGCGTCTTTGAGTAAACTGCGATGCGACGTATCGGTCGGAAGCCGTTGTCGTCCCGGTGAGCCTGGCAGCCGTTAAATGCTCACCCCTAGACAATGATAGCCAGCTTCCTGCAGCAGGTCCCGCCACCATGCCAGCCACTCTGGGCAGCGGCTTCGCGAAGGGCGCACGGGAGGTCGTCGCGTGTGACACCTTCTGTCCGCCGGCTTGGGGTGGCCGCAACACGTTCGGGGCTCAAGAAACGGGGGTCAATGCAAACGGGGGTCAACCAGAGTGCCAGATCTTGCAGGACCCTGCAGAGCCAGGGTCGCATTGGCCTGGGCTTGGGTGTAGGATCCTGCCGGATCTTGCAGGATCCTGCAAAGCCTGACTGGCCCGGGTCTGGATTACCTCAGGTCAGTAGATCCCGGACACGTGAGGCGCTCTTCCGCGTCGTGTCGGTGTGTCTCTCCTCGTCCTCGGCGTCCTCCTCGTCGTTGGGCCATCAAGGGCCCACGTTTGGAGCAAAGCCCGCGCTCGAGCGGAGCCACCGCTTCCACAGAACACGCAGCCCGCCCCGAGGCGAGGGCGCTCGATGGCGCGTCTCATGCAGCGGCCTTTGGCCAACGCCGCCGCTTCTTTTGGCCGCACCTGCGTGGCGAAGTGCAGCCAGATCGAGGTATAAGATCGAGGCTGGGGGAGGGTACCCTGATGCTTTTCGTGTGTGTTGCATGTTCTTGCGCT